TCACGAAATGGCATCATCTGGAGACCCACTAAACACCAAGAAGTAATCAACAGTCATTTCATGCTAGCATGAGACTTCAAAGCAGTACGCACAGACAGTGAGACAGATTTTCCGCAGTACTAATGAGTAGTCGGGAAATATATGGAGTTTACTATGTCAGGTACGAGGAAAGATACTAGTCGACGACTTCAGTTCCTGGTGGTGCTGTATCACGAATTTACGACGGCTAGGAACCCGACTGATAGCACCTACCTTGACGTGATGGTCGGGTTTGCACATCGCAATGACCCAACAAGCTACACTGGCTGGAACTATTGTTCCTGCAGGTCCTACCATACCAGGAAGGTTGTTAGGATAGCGATTAGACTAAAAGCAGTTACCGGTATTGTGCAAACACTTCCGAAAGCACACGAAGACTCCCCGAACATCAGTTTCCTTTACCCATATCACCGTCATCTAACTTTCCCACTACACTCGGTACTATTCTTCAGTCATTTTCACTTCACTCTGTGACCACAAACAACGGTGAGAGCCATAGAAACACCCCCCCCCCCAGACAGCCCATTAAAGCCACGTCGCCGTTTTTATATAGGGGCATTTAAACTCAGGACCCTCTGCTAGATCAAACAACAGGCATCACTAGCAAGAACTCTGGCATCTCGAGCCATAGATGTATGTTGTGTTTCGGATACATGCATACGAGACCCGAGTGTGGTCATTCACTTAACCTTACCAGGCCAACAAGGTGAACCTGCACAATTGAATTTAAGAATATCAGGAGACCCCTCAGATAGTTCGCAAGGACTCGCAGGTGTAGGGATAGCACTGAGTGTTAGGGGAGAAAAATCGCTTCTTGGCTGGATCCCAGTAGATAGTCGTATGTGTACGGTCCGTCTGAATGAGTCCGTTAGAAAAAGAAAAGACGGTGCTACCCGTCGCCACCTTTTCATAGTCTCCGCTTACGCCCCGACAGACTACAGTTCGGATGAACTAAAGGATGACTTCTCCCTGAAACTGTTTAATTTGCTGCAAAAAGCAAAACGTTCAGATATAGTTGTTTTAGCAGGCGACTTCAATGCCCAAGTAGGGAGGTTGTGCCAGACTGAGAAGTATGTAGGTGGCACGTAAGGAGTTCCCTGCCGACGAACCGACAACGGTGATCTTCTTCTACAGTTCTGTTCAGATAATCATTTGTTCTTAGTCACCACTAACTTTAGGCACAAACAGAAACATTGTGTAACCTGGCGACCTCCATCACCACACAACGCTGGACTCAGATAGACCGCATAGCCATAGGGTATCATTGACGAGGGTCAGTAGAAGACTGTCGCTCCTTTTGGAACACCTGAGTAGACTCCGATCACGCTCTGGTCCGTGCACGTTTATGCTTACGACTAAACAGACATGACAAATTGTTGGCAGCGAAACAGTTACGTCCCCAACTAGATCGAGACACTGAGTCCCTATTTAAGGAGGAAATAACGAAACGTGTATCAGGTCGACAACAGGACTTCCCCTGAGGTAGCCTGGCACAACATACATTTAACTGTAGACACAGCTGTGAAAGCTGTCAATGACCTAAAACCAATAATTAGTAAGAGCCATTGGATCTCTACCACCTCATCCGAACTGATTGACGCAAGAAGACTGATTTCGGCGAGCTCCGATTATGATGAGGAACGAAAGCTACTCAAAAGTAAACTAACAAGAATTCTTCGCAACGACCGTGAACAGTGGTGGGTGACAAAAGCGAAAGAGATGGAAAAGGCATCGGCGACTTGTAACACCAGACAACTATTTAGCCTTATCAGGGAAACAGGTGGTAAAAGGCAAACGATAAGCGAAACAATCTCTGAGAGAAATGGCACCATAATTAGCTCCCAGGATAAACAACTGGAACACTGGAAAGAACACCTTAAGGAGCAGTTTAATTTCCCTACAGCCACACTCAACTTACCGGACATCCAACACCTCCCTGAATGGGATACAGACATAGGTCCTCCGTCACTAACTGAGGTTACTAAGGCTGTCACTAGTCTGAAACAAGATGAAGCAACGGACCTGATGAATTGACTCCAGAGGTATTTAAGTACGCTGGAAACAGTTTACTGTCTGCGTTAACTAAGGTATTAGGCAGTGTCTGGGAAGCAGAAGGAGTCCCGTCGCGCCGGAGTAAGTCATTGATTATCCCGATTATACAAGAAGGGAGACAAGTCTTCCTGTGATAATCACGGGGAGATTAGCTTGACCAACATGGCGTCTTAAGTTCTAGACTCAATAATGATGTATAGACGAAGTCTTGTTCAACAGGAACAAATAAGAGTACACCAGGTGACATGGCTCAAAATCGTTCTCAGTGGCGCAGATGCATCCACTCCTTGTGACTTATGATCTCCAATGAAACTGTTTTGTTTTTCTTTATTACTCCTTTGTCTCACATCTCTGCTCACTGTTTCTATTATGCTTTTCTTGTACTTTCTTCTCTTGCTTCGCGTGCTACACGGAGTGTGGCGACTTGAACTTCCGCACATTTGTGCAAAGTTCTATGTCGAAAACAGACAGACAGAGACACCAGGTGGGCTTTAGACTAGGGAAAGGGTGTACTGATTATATCTTCACCCTTAGACAGATTGTGGAACATAGGCATACTTACCGGCATCAAACAGGCGTTATATTTCTTGACCTAAAGACGCCATTCGATCCCGTCGACCGCGATGTTCTCTGGCGATGTTTGGCTGTGGAGGGAATCCCGAGAAAATCCGTTGCATTGATCAAGGCACTCACTCTACTTGAACTCATGTAGCCAGGTGACAGCTTACGGGGTGTTGTCGTCTGAAGTGGTGACAACTAGTGGTGTCCGTCACGGATGCCCACTATTCCCATTTCTATTCAATTTCATCATAGATTTACTAATGAACTTAGCACTAACTGACTTCAGCAACTCAGGGACTGACTTGTCGCCACCAAGGAATATTCTCTGACTTAGAATATGCAGATGATATAGTCCTCCCATCCAGGTGAAAACGCTGACAAACTGAGGCAGAGTCTTCTGGACGCCTTGAGCTGCAATCTGGGAATGTTCGGCATGCAATTCGCTCCCGCCAAATGTAAGATGATGTTACAGGACTGGACTACATCGACTCACCCCTAGCTTAGAAATAGGGAGTGAAGTCATAGAGCGTGTTGACCACATCACTTATTTAGGAAGTTACATCAGTCAGTGCCAATGGGCTGATCGTTAACGAAATCTCAACAGGGATACAGAGGACTCGTTTCGCATATGCCAGTTTACGCAGTCTCTGGCGTAGACGTGATATCCGGATATCGAGCAAAGGACGTGTGTACTGCTCAGCGGTCCTCTCCGTTTGCCTTTATGGCTGTGAGTGAGACATAGCCATTGGAAGTGGAAGATATGAAAAGCCAGGCTAGCTGTCTTTGATCATAGGTGCCTGCGTTCTATCTCCTGTGCTAGCTGGTATAACAGGGTGAGTAATACTGAGGTTAGGCATCGGCAGGGTGCTGGGTAAGGAGGGGAAATCAATAGTCGATTCTGTGACGCTACACAGAATGAGATGGTTAGGACATGTGTTATGTATGCCTAGTCATCGCCTTCCTCGACAACAGGAAATGTCAGCTGACACAGGGTCAGGCTGGAAAAAAGCTAGTGGTGGTCAAACTGAAAACATGGCTTCAACAGTCGATGAAATACACAACAGTTAGTTTAAGCCACGCAGGAAGGTGTAGACTTCCTGGTTGGGGTCATCAGAATGGTAAAAACGAATGGCTGGAGACTATTGGTGATATGGCTCAAAATCGTTCTCAATGGCTGGCGCAGATACATCCACTCCTTGTGACTTATAATTTCCAATGAAACTATATTGTTTTCGTTATTACTATTCCTTTTGTCTCATATCCTTGTCTACTGTCTCTATTTTGCATTTCTTCTACTTTTTTTCTCTTGCTTTGTGTGCTCTATGGAGTGTGGCGACTTGAACTGCTGCACATCAGTGGAAAGTTCTATGTTGAAAACAGACAGATAGACAAATGGTTAGGAATCATTATTGGTTGAATTCCGAGTGAATAGTAACTTGCTCACCTTGTAGACTGATTGCTCTTAGTTTGATATTTGATGCGATCGTGTATGCGTACTGCTAAAAAATCGCAAACACGAACGAAATAACTGTTCAGTACGCTTTAGTTTACAATAATTCTCAGACTAATGTCAATCTGTAAAGAAATCTACCCTGAAATCAATCAAATCTCCACAAGTGGAAGACTCATTAACACTATCAGGGATTTAGAAACCTCATAATCGACTTGAATGAAGCTGAAAGGTATAAAAATTCATCTTTAAAACAACCAATCACTGATGTATATATTAAGTTGTTTGATTATGCTATCGCTTCTAAACCATACTAATAACTGAAGCTGTAATATAACAAATGAGATTTATAACACCAAGTCAGATATATGAAGGTATTAGGAATGTTTTTTTCCTTCACGTTCCCCAGTGGAACATAGGGCTTCAAGCTAGTGGCTTGAAGTTTCTGTAGCAGTGTTTATTTTACAGAATGGGGTTGCTAGCCTCATGCCCAACCTTTCCTCTTTACCAGCATTATTTCTGGTTCAGCGAGGTGAAGGATTTCGTCGGACAGGGATCGAACCCCGCACCATGTACGTGGTCGGCGAGCGTCCTAACCGCTATACCACCGACGCACTTTAGGAATGTTTACTACTCAATAATTGTCGATAGCTATTCAGTAAACAATACCTATTCCATAGTTTCTCTTATAAATTATACTGTGAGAAATATGTTGATAAATGAAAAAAAAATCCTTTCATGCGAAAAGGAAACATGATTTTCATGAATAGGTTAAACAGATAACATGACCGGTGGACAAAGCATTAAGTCCAGTTTTGCATTAACATTACATTGCGACACATTTAAACGGAAGGCCGAAAAAGAACATTATAAAAACTAAAAAGTATATTGAACGTACCTTTGGCTTGCGATAGAGTAACAATTGAACTCATTAACTTGTCAGTAGAAAGTTGGTTACACATTTCAGATGATCTTGACAATAATACAGCGTTGTTGTTCATACTGATTTCACTATCATTGTCGCATATATTATCATTTTTGTCATTATTACAATTGCCATTGTTTTCATGAATAAAGTTATTATCATTATAAATATCATTATCATCTTTCTTAATACTAATATCATTAGAATTATTGTTAGCATTTTTGTCATTATCAGCATTAAGATCTTTATAAATACAAATTTTCTTATCATTAGTATTGTTATCCATATCATCGTCAATATTATCAATACACTTTTGAGTAACTGAATTAATGTTACAGGGGGATTTATGCTCAGGTGTAACAGTCGTGCCTCTGTTGTTAATAATATCATTATTATTGTTGTTGTTGTCGTCATTATAAATGCAGGACATTTGGGCTGTTCGATTCATGCGATAAGGTGATCCAAGATCGGGTGTAACAGTTTTCTTACTGTTATCATAGCTATTATTGTCACCAATATCATTACTGAATATCCGGGTTACTGGATCAATACAAAATGGTGATCTATGTCCCAGTGTAACGGTAACTTCGCTTTTGTTATCCTTATCACTACGATTGTTGTCATTACAGCTGTTATTATCATTATTATAATTATTCATATCATCATGATCGGAATTGCACATTTGGGTTACTGGATGAATATAATAAGATGATCCAGGATCAGGCGTAACAGTCTTCTTACTGTTATCATTAACACTGTTATCAGCATCGTCATCAATACTGAACATTTCAGTTAGTGGAGGAATACGATCCGGTGATCCGTGGTGGGGTGTCACATTTTCCTTACTGCTGTCATTGTAATTATTGTCGATTTCGTCACCACTATCATCAATACTGAACATTTCAGTTAGTGGAGGAATACGATCCGGTGATCCATGGCGGGGTGTCACAGTTTTCTTACTGTTGTCATTGCCATTATTGTCACTATCGTCATCATTATCGTTTTTGTACGTTTGGGTTACTGGGTGAACAGAGTGAGTCGATCCACGATCAGGCGTAACACTTTTCTTACTGTTCCTATTGCTGTTATTGTCAATATTGGCATCATTAACGTCATTAATATCAATACTGCACATTTGGGTTAATAGATGAATACAATCGGACGATCCAAGATCAGGCGTAACAGTTTTCTTATTATGCTCATCAACATTATTGTTGCTATTATTATTACTGTACATTTCAGTTAACGGAGAAGTAAAACCCGGAGATCCATGATCTAATGTAACAGTTTTCTTACTGTTGTCATTGCCAATATTGCTATCATTATCATTACAGAACATTTGTGTTACTGGATGAATATAATTGGGTGATCCGAGATCAGATGTAACAGTTTCCTTACTGTTTTTAATAACATTACTGTCATCATTGTGACTACTAATTGGACTAGTATTATTATTGATAGCAATATCGCTGTCATTATCATCACTTGTGTACATTCGCGTTACTGGATGAATAGAGTGAGCCGATCCACGATCAGGCGTAACACTTTTCTTACTGTTCTCATTGCTGTTATTGTCAATATCGGCATCATTATCATTATTATCGTCATTAATGTCAATACTACACATTTGAGTCAGTAGATGAATACAATCGGACGATCCAAGATCAGGCGTAACAGTTTTCTTATTATGCTCATTAACATTATTGTCGTCATTATCAATATTATTATGATTCTTATTATCAATATCATCATCGTTATCATTTGTGTACATTTGAGTTATTGGATGAATATAGTAAGCTGCTTCGAGATTGGGGGTAACAGTTCCCTTGCTGCCATTATTACCATTACCACTATTATTATTATTACTATTTTCACTATCGTCACTAGTATCAATACTGCACATTTGAGTTACTGAATCAATATAATATGGTGATCTATGCACCACTGTAACAGTTGGATCTCTTCTGTTATCATTACAATTACCATTGTCTTTCCTATTATTATCCATATCGTTGTTACCAGAATTGCACATTTGGGTTACTGAGTGAATGCAATAGGGCGATCGAAGATCATGTGTAACAGTCGTAACAGTTTCATTACTGTTATTATTATTACCGTTGTTGTCATCGTTATGATTACTGTTCATTTGGATTACTGAATTAGTACAATAGACTGATCCGAGATAAGGTGTAACTGACATGTCCCTCTTGCTATGTTCATCGTTACAGTCTTTATTATTATTAATATTATTATTATTATCATCAATATCGTCATCATCATCATCATCATTATCAATACCACACATTTGTGTTACTGAATCAATATAATAGGGTGATCCAAGATCAGGTGTAACAGACGTTTCAGTTTTGTTATTATCACTGTCATTATAATCACTATCACTACTAGTACTGTTATCGCTGTTATCCTCGTCACCGTCACCATCACCGTCATCATCATCCTCCTCATGAGTGTGCATTTGGGTTACTGGATTAATATAACGGGGTGATACACGAACAGGTGGAATAGCCGTATCTATTTTGTTATTATTATTATTACTATGGTCACTATCATTATAATTATTATTATCATTGCTATAATTATCCATGTCATCGTCATTACGATTACTGTATATTTGGATTACTGGATCAATATAATAGGGTGATACAAGATCCAGTGTAACGGTTGTATTTCTTTCGTTATTATTTTCATTATTGTCATTAGAATTGTTAGCATTACTATAATTATCCATATCTCCATCATTATAATTACTATACATTTGGATTACTGGATCAATATAATAGGGTAATCCAAGATCAGGTGTAATGGTCGTATCTCTTTTCATCTTATTAGGATCATTGTTAGTATTATTGTTATTATTATTGCTATCATCAATATCGTCATCATTATCGATACTGCACATTTGAGTTACTGAATCACAATAATAGGGTGATCCAAGAGCAGGAGTAACAGTAGTATCACTTTCATCATCAGTATCACTGCGACTATCGTCATTATTTCCGCTACTATCATTGCTGTTATTATTATTGTTATTATCCATATCAGCATCATCATCATCATCATTATCGTTGCTGCACATTTGGATTATTGGATCAATACAATAGGGTGATACAAGATGAGGTGTAACAGTTGTACATCTTTTGTTAATATTATCGTCATTGGCATTATTATAAATATTATTATCATCATCATTAATATCATTACTATTGCTATCCATATCGTCATCATCACTGTACATTTGGCTTACTGAATCGGTATAATACGGTGATCCAAGATCAGGTGTAACAGTAGTACCTGCGTCGTTATCATCATTATTTGCATTACTATCATTATCCATATTGTCATCATTATCATTACTGGACATTTGAGTTACTGAATCACAATAATAGGGTGATCCAAGAGCAGGTGTAACAGTTGAATCACTGAAGGAATTATTTGGTGAAGTTGATGGCATACGATCCAATAAAGGTGGTAATGGGCTATTTGAAGCACTACTGCAATCATTATGAACACTGTATCCTAATCCACTGCTAGTTCCATCTGATTCTTGCCATGCTATTCTGTCACAAACTGTTGTGTCATTGGAAACAGGGACTTTAACAGTACTCTTGGGAGTAAAACTTCGTTGTTCAGATATATGACTATTCCGTAATAATTGTCTTCGTCTTTTTACGACAGATGATAATGCATTGCTTAGCTTTCTTCGCTCACTGTCACATGAATGCAAATTTGATTCATTCTGTAGGCAAGATGAAACGCTTTTCTTAATAGTTTTTCTTAACATGCACTTTTTATAAGGGGAAATAATCCTCGGAGTCCTGTTCTCATGACTAATCGAATAACGTGATTTGTTTACGGAAGCTATGGTTGCAGCAATAAGTCGAGCTTTAACACGATTTAAACGATAGCCGGTATGCCGTAAGGAATATGCATTAGGCAATGCTTTACAAGCCAAACCAGTTGAAGATCCCTTCTTCAGGAAGAAATCCAATGATATAGACTTAGTGACTTGAGAACCAATCCACTTGACAAAGTGAGAATTATCTATTCAAATTTTAGACAAAGACAGAAAATAATACAAAGAGGATGAAATACTGACGACTTCGTTTTACAACTACCTTAAGATTTCCACAATCACATAAAAGGTTTCAAGTGAAGTTGAATTGAAATGTATGTCCGGTCTCACACTTTATGAACACTACTATATATCATTACCTAAACTACATCAATCAAAATAAAGTCAAATACTGTGACAACTGGTTGAAAATATTTTATCTCAATAAATTTTAAATACTTGTTAAAAAGATGACAAATCCTTCATCACAATCAAATAAAAAAGCTTTTCATAAATCCATATGTAAAAATTATATTTGTAAAATCTCAACGGAATTGAAGTGAGTAATCCCAAAGATTCGTTCGGCAAACTAGTCCGAACTTTTATCTTCAAAACTCAAAAAGAAGACAAATCAAAAGGTTCGACAGGATATTTCAACTAAACTGTAGTCCTAAACACCAGAAAAAAATTTGAAAATAAATCTAATCGTAACATTCTAAATACGAAAAAAGTGGTGGCTAATCTCTCTGATAGAAATTTATCTGGTTGTGAGCTATCCCTTTTTAAAAAAGGACTTAATTTTAATTTAAACAAAAGACGTTTATCGGCCGTCGAAATAGTTCCAGCGATCGAACCGTCACTAAAGTGTGTGACAGCTGAAGAGGCGAATGTCATAAGACACAAAATTACAGCTATACTACTAAATCAGAAGTCAAATACGCGAATATAAACAAAAACGAACAAGCGGTATTACAACTGCAGAAAGATAAATCGATTTTCGTTACAACAGCAGATAAGGGCAATACCACGGCTGTTATGAACTCTGTATATTATGAAAAGAAAGCTATTGGTCAACTTAATATCGGACCCTATGAAAAAGTGAATATGACAAAGTCTAGGGTGACACTGAATAAATTGAAGGCTGAAACAAGCAAAATGTTACAGTCCATAAAAGAGAAACTCGGTGTATCACTTGGGTTTACTCTGGTTCCAAAATGTTCCAGCCCCCTGCAGATTTTATGGATTACCAAAAATGCACAAACCAGAAGTTCCATTACGGGTAGTTGTGGATTTTACTGATTTCCCTACCTACAAACTCTCCGAATACATTTAACGAATACTGACTCCAAATGAAATGAAAGTGGAACATGGAGTAGAGAATTCATATTAATTTAAGAGAAAAATCAACACGACTTATATTGAAGAAGACGAAGTAATGGCAAGTTTCGATGTTTATTTATTATTCACAAATGTTCCCATTGAAGGTTCTTTAAGTATTATTTATAGTTAGCTTCGTTCTGACAACGAATTCAGTAGTCGTTGTTCTTTAAATCTAGATGAAATTACAAAGGCATTGGAACTGCGTCTACGCCCCATGTTACTAACATTTAGAGGGGTTCTCTACCGTCAAACAGAAGGCATTGGTATAGTATCACCAGTGTCTCCGCCAGTCGCCAATCTGTTTGTGCACTCATTAGAAACAAATACAATTATGCGATGCGCTAGTGCTCCAAAAATGTGGTTAAGATACTTGGAGGATACTTTCGTTATAGTCAGACACAGTACTTTGAATGAACTTTTTCATTTAATAAACAATATTTTAGAAACCATCGAGTTTTCCAAAGAGGTTGAATCCTAAAAAAATGATTTGGCTTTCCTGGACTAATTAATAAAAGGACAACCAGATAATCAACTTACACATTTTCAGAAAGCCGACAAATTCACACAGATACCTAGACTACTTTTCAGCACATCCGTTTACCACCAAAGTAACTGTGGCCAAACATCTAGTTACTGGAGAGGAAGAGGTCAGTAGGCAATTTAAATTGGTTCAATACACTCTTCAATCAAATAATAATGCCAAGACCTTTATAAGAAGATATTTAAAATGTGAAGATATGGATGAATTGAAGCCTGTTGCTGAGAATCGGGGTTAGCGCAGTGATAATACCTTACCGCAAAAAAACATCGGATGAGAATTAACCAATCCTTAACAATCATGACAGAGGAGTGTATTTTCGCGCAACTAACATCTTACGCTCATCACTGGTGAAGATTGGGGATGAAAATCAGGACAACCAACAGAAATATGTGCACTAGATCAATTGTGGGGAATGTAACGCTGTATATGTAGGAGAAACTTCCAAACAGGTAAATATAAGAGGGAAGGAACATAAACAATGTCTAAATGTGGTTCTAAAGACCTATGCAGACTTGAAAAAGCTAGGAAATAGATCGGCGATTGCACTGCACTCGATAGAAACGAGACACAAGATCGACTTTGATGGGATTAAAGTTCTACAGAAAGGTTTTGGTTCGAATAAAGAAAGACTGACTGCAGTAGCCCTACATATATGGGTGAGTCCCAAAAGTTTGAATAGAAGTGAAGGTGTGATGATAGCTGATGCGTGACAAGTCCCGATTAATTATTAAAAATGCATATGTACCAGTAATCAATCATACTCGATCTAAATTCCCGATTGTCTACATAATCTTATGGAGAGTCTAATAAATGTTCATTATAATAACGGTTTTCTTGTATTTCCCAATGAACGAAAAACAAAACGATATTGTTTTTACTGACGGTTCGCTATTTAATGCTAATAGCTTTATCAAAGTATTATTAAACCGGAATTTACAAAATCTCTGAATATATATAACAAAGAGTTAGGGAGTGAGAAAATAGACTTAGGTCAAGTTAAAAGCACATATTGAAAGTCAAAATAGCAATGAAGATCACTAAACCAAATAACAAGGGTAATGGTACGTCTGTTATGATATCAAAATAAAGTTTACTAACTTGATCATCGTTCGTCGGTCTGAGGTCGTTTTTCGTTGTCAAGTTGGTCAATTGGTAAAGACAACAAAATCAAGTGTAGATTGTTGAATTTGATCAGTGTGTAAAGTTATAAAAGCAGTGTGTTTACATAGTGAATTTGCTTATCACATTTGTGTTGATTTTGTCACTTCATAGGGGAGGGAGGTGTTGTAACCAGGTCAGATTCGGTTTTAGTCCATCATTCCTATTCAGGCAATTTGGATTCCATTTGATATGAAGTGCTTCTGATATTAGACGTTCTTTGTGATTTCTGAAGTTTTTCTGGATTATTTCAATATTGTTAAAATCAATTTTGTGGCCTGATTCTATAGCATGTAGACCTATGCCTGATGATTTTTCAAGTTTTCCTAGTTCAACCGGATTTCTCGGTGGTCGAAGAGATGTTCTACGGTGTTCATTTCTTCTGATTTTGATTTCTCCATATGTTTGTCGGATGTATGTCGTATCACATTCCAAGCATTTTATTTTATAAATACAATTAGATAGAGAATCTTTAGGGATTTGGTCTTTTATGTGGACAAGGTTGCTTTGAAGTGTGTCTGATGTTTTGAAGAAAACACTCATATCGAGCTGATTGAGTACTCTTCTGATATCGTTTGACGTCTCTGCTCTGTATGGAATGACGACTGTTGATGTCCATGTTTTCGTAATGCGTTTTCGACCATACTTAATGTCTGTGTTGGTTTTGTTGATGAAGTTCCTTGGGTAGTTGTTTTGCTTGAGAGTTTGAGTAATGTTTGATATTTCTATCTCTCTATCTAATTGTATTTATAAAATAAAATGCTTGGAATGTGATACGACATACATCCGACAAACATATGGAGAAATCAAAATCGGAAGAAATGAACACCGTAGAACATCTCTTCGACCACCGAGAAATCCGGTTGAACTAGGAAAACTTGAAAAATCATCAGGCATAGGTCTACATGCTATAGAATCAGGCCACAAAATTGATTTTAACAATATTGAAATAATCCAGAAAAACTTCAGAAATCACAAAGAACGTCTAATATCAGAAGCACTTCATATCAAATGGAATCCAAATTGCCTGAATAGGAATGATGGACTAAAACCGAATCTGACCTGGTTACAACACCTCCCTCCCCTATGAAGTGACAAAATCAACACAAATGTGATAAGCAAATTCACTATGTAAACACACTGCTTTTATAACTTTACACACTGATCAAATTCAACAATCTACACTTGATTTTGTTGTCTTTACCAATTGACCAACTTGACAACGAAAAACGACCTCAGACCGACGAACGATGATCAAGTTAGTAAACTTTATTTTGATATCATAACAGACGTACCATTACCCTTGTTATTTGGTTTAGTGATCTTCATTGCTATTTTGACTTTCAATATGTGCTTTTAACTTGACCTAAGTCTATTTTCTCACTCCCTAACTCTTTGTTATATATATTCAGAGATTTTGTAAATTCCGGTTTAATAATACTTTGATAAAGCTATTAGCATTAAATAGCGAACCGTCAGTAAAAACAATATCGTTTTGTTTTTCGTTCATTGGGAAATACAAGAAAACCGTTATTATAATGAATATCATAAACCCAAAGGCCAAATTTTTTTCAAACCGTTAAAAGTGAACTTGGTCTAGATATATATATAGTCTTATAAATGATTGACAATTGTTTCTCTATACACACATGCACACACACCATCGTATACCTCATATGCACACATATTTTCATATTCAGTTATCTACGACCATGGACTTTAGTCGAACGTAATCACTAGAAATCTGATGAAAAATTACTCACCGTCTACAGTGTTTTACAAAAGTTCATGCAATTTCATATTTTGATGTCTGTTTCATAACTCATATGATTGGACAAATTTTTTTCAAAAAAGATATGTCGTTGTGAAATATAAACCTGTTATTTTAATTTCGATTAATTTCCTTGAAGAAGTTTGGACAAGTTTGCCGGCCGAAATGTTGGAATTACTCATTTCAATTCCGTTGAGATTTTACAACTATTTTTAGATATGTGTACTTTTCACTCGGTTTCCGATTATTTTGGAACTATTGGTTCAAATCGTGATGAGAGTCCATATGACCTTGATATATTGCTTTACTTCTAACTCGTTTACTCTTTAATTCTAATTGAATAATGCATCAGGTAAAAGAACACAACTAGGTGAAGGGAAACGCAATAAATCTGATAACTAAACTCCTCATGCGACACGATAGGGTTATAACCTTAAAAAAAACCATTGTGATACGGAAGTTTCTGCAGCTTCGATGTACGTATAAATAAAGTAGATAACAAAGAAAAGTTAGACAAGGCAGAGACTAAAGGTTCAGCATAGAGCTAAATGAACAGATTTTGATAGAGAAAAATAAATATGAGGACATCGAAAGCTTCGTAATTTCATCAACCAGCTCAGAGAACACAAAATCGGTAGAATAATTCCCTTATGAATTAGTCACTGTTACTAGTTATACTACTCATGAGTAACTAAAACGTTTTGGCATAATTTCTTCATTTTTCATCCATTGTTACGCCACTAGTTATTTCATTGGTTGATGCAGTCTGTCCAAATCCAATCTTACTAGACAACATAAACTTCGCTACCTGTAGCTTGTATATTACCTTAGTTAACTCTGATAAACAGGAGAGATTTTTCATGTACCAGACTGTGGTGTGCAAGGGGTGGTTGGGGATGATGATACTGACAGAAACCAGTAAAGTATAAAGAGGAACATTCTCAAACAGTACATAAATAACATCATTAACAGCTTCATTAACCAAAAGTCACATTGCACATGGATTTTGTAAGTTTATTTATTCACTTTGTAATTTTAAGACATCACTTGTTTACATTTGCCGTATATTTTGAAGTTGCAGAACAGTAGGGACTCGAACAATTTCTATTAACTTTATTATAGGTATCTAAAATATATACCCTCCACCCTGCACCAAAATAACTCTGAAACCATTTAGGGGAAAAGTTATACCGGGATGAGCTCATTCATAGTAAATATGAACAGCTTCACGACAGTGAAATGTTTCAACATGTCTTAGTAGATTTATTTTATCACTCATAAACACCAAAAACAGGATTCTCTCTACAAACATCAAAGCAATTCAACTGTCTACTACATTTTGATGTAACTGAATAATCCAGTCAAAAGAATCACAAGAATTGACCGATCTAAAAATTTTCAAACAGACATCTCGTGGTAAGGAAGATAGAAAAAGTCTTATAAATAGTCAGTTTGTTTAGTGCACCGCATCAATCGCTTAAAACTGAGAAAGTGCGAAGTGCTATCTTAAGACACAGAATGTTTGGGAGTAACATTTTTTCTTCACGTTCCCAGTGGAACACAGGGCTTCAAGCTAGTGGCTTGGACTTTCTGCAGCAGTGTTTAATTTTACAGGATGGGGTTGCTAGCCTCATGCCCAACCTTTCCTCTTTACCAGCATTATTTTTGGCTCAGCGGGGTGAAGGAGTGCGTCTGTGGCCGGGGACCGAACCCCGGACCATGTGCATGTTCGGCGAGCGTCCTAACCACTATACCACCGACACATTAGCACTCACTTTATGGATTCCATGCAAAGAGATGCATCACTATTCGTATGCTAAGAATGGTAATAAACATAAGGATTAATAAAGGTGTGAACAGATTAATAAATGAATGTCCAAAAATGACAAAATTAAGGTTATTTATTGAGATTTATTTCAGCACACCTGTTCCCTGCATTGTGTAGACTTTAATAAAAATTCAATAGGCATATAAAAAAGACTTTTCAATAAATCTGCATTAAGAAATGATTCACTTACTTGGTACTGAATTTATTCTATCACGCAGAATTTGATTATGATCAGTAGAAATGTTAAGAGTATTATGAAATGCTGGTACAATATTTTTTGGATGAGTTCTCTGGTCAGAGATAGTAGTTGGAGATGATAATTCATTAGTAGGATTTGTCATATCCACACTTTGGTTAAATTTGCTGAAATATCCACGACCTAATAATTCACATGTAAAACACTCGCAAGCTGCATTATTTGTATCGAAAAAGTTTGTCCCATAGTAGATGAAAATCTCATCACCCGACTTTATATCGGTTATAGCCTCTAAGCTCATACGAGCGTCAGCATCACAGTTAGTTGTGAACTAAAAAAAATTGAAGAGACGAAAAAAGTGAGACATCCAATGGGAGTAACTTAATGTTTTGACTTGATAATACTCATGATATAATTGAGAGATTTTGTGGTTAAAACCACTTATAGAAATGTGAGCATAAATTATGACAAGGACAAAAACTTATAAGCGTAAGCTGACTAACTAGGGCTGTAAAAAATTAGTGGTAAGTGAAGGATGGTGTTTCAACTACCCTACAGCCACACTAAGTTTGCCTAGCATCTAACATCTATCAGCAAGGGGGTGTACACATCGATCCTCCAACTTGGCGAAGCAGCAAAACTTGATGACAGGACTCTCAAGGCGCTTAAGGACGACAGTGATGAAGTATTGTCTGGGTTAACCGAGGTTAGGTGTAGCGTTAGGTAAGGTAAACAAACGAAGCGATTAGGTTGTGAGGCTTCATCAACTGAGATGGCTAGGATACATGTTATGCGCGCCAAGCCATCGGCTTCCTCATCAAGCAGTGTAAGTCGACATAGGATTAAGTTGGAAGAGTTTGGATTGGTCAAATCAAAGCATGGAACCGACTGATGAAGTCATTGACTGTTGGTTTGAGTTACATGTGGAGGTGTAGACTGCCTAGTTGAGATCTTTGAGACGCTAATAAAAAATGGTTGTACATGGAACAGATGCACTTCCTCTTTGTGATCTTAGACCCACTAAATCCTAATGCTTCTCCATATAAATATTCTTCTTCTTATACATTCCCATTTATTATAGTTTATTTGCGTCTCCTTTTGTACCAGTGCCTGTATGCTTTTATGAAGTATGATAATTGCTGCAAATCATATAGAGTTCTACGCTGAGAGAGTTTTCTCTCCATTATAGAAACCTACACTCCATATCAGAAATTCTAGAAACAGAAAAGTGGTATGATACTTTATGTTCGGCTTTCTTTGCATTTTACAATAGAATAAAAGCACTGCAGGATATGCTGGTCATATTTAGGAAGCATTCTACCTATGTTACACTCGAAAGTTCAATTTTGTTCTGAGGTCTGCGGTCAGCCAGTTCTAAATTTATTGTCCTGCAATCAATCCTAGCAGAGTATTAGTGCTTCGAATGTTCTAGCCGACAAAGCTTTGATGGATCATAGCACTACACAATCTCGACCAACGTAAAGAGATCACAAATCTTTATGGATTACAGTTTGAGATACATCTTACGAACGCCCACACATTTATCTAGACAAAGTATGAGTCGAATGAAAGCTTAACAATTACCAAGTTAACAGATGATATTAACTTGAGCAGTAAGTTTCTTGTAGTGGTTTTATAACGTAGGTCGTGAAAGAAAATGATTGCTGAAGAAGTAAAATAATTACTTCAAAGATGACTTTACACATTACAGTTTTTCTTACCTCCACTAGTGTCCTTATGTTCATTCCTCTTTCTTTTCTTCTGAAGAGTTTGCTCTGCTACGATTATACATAGTATGTCAACATATACAATATGGATACCAAGAGATGTCACAGACTGACCACCCCTCTGCTTCTCCTACCCAATCCACTGGGATGATATCCTCAGCACATTTCTACGTCACCAAAGCCACTAATCTAAGATAACTACATTTAGTGAAAGACGAATTGCAATGTATAAACAGACGACATCAGACAGTTTTGCTAATATGATGACGCCACATGATGGTAGCCATTCTCCGGAAAGCTAGGTTTCACAGAAATACAGCACGACTGTACGTACCGAAGTATGATAAGTCCGAGTTTTGACAGCTAAACTAACGTCAGATGGAGCCAGAGGTGGTATGTAGTACCCTGGCTTTCGCCATACGGTTAGAGATCGGCTGAATCTCCTACAACACTCACACAACTACGAGATTCACGAACTTATCGACAAGTTTAGATGTTCCACCTGCGAGGGGTGAGTGCAGGGAAAGGCTCCGGCCAATCTTGCACTTAGAAAGCACAAAGCGCACACTTACGGACACTGAACGCTGACTGACTGAGTACGATTTCTACAGTTTGTACGTTATCGTACAGTAAGACGATATCGTCTGCATACTTGGCGTCGAAAGGTCTTCCGGAAGCAGATCTGCACCACCACGTACGTTTTTCAGAGCTGTATCCAGAATGTTAACGATGACGAAGCCGAAGAGAAATAGTGAAGTTGGGCAATCCTAGCTAAACTCACTGTTGGTTGAGAACAGCGGTGATAGCTTGCCGTGTGTGATAACTCTACCAGATGTTTCTTTACAGACCTTCTAGGGTGTTAACAAACTTTTTCGGAACGCCACTCTCTAACAGACAGTTCCGGAAAGCATTTCCGTAAAATGAGCCGAAGGCAGCCCTGAAATCAAGAAATGCAACGGTTTCTAGACTGAAATAGGAATGGCAGCGTTTTAATACCTCATGTGGGAACACGACCTCAACGAAACCCAGTCTGCTCCTGGTGAAATTAACTTATCACACATTTTATATGGCCTGTGAAACAAAACAGCGGTCAATATTTTAAACGCGAACGGTGAAAAACTAGCACCCTATGATTGTCATATGCGTTACATTAGCCCATTTCAAAGGTGTGTACGATAATGGCCTTATTCCACATTTATGGAGCATTCTCACTTTACCAAACTTTCCCGAATGGTTCAGTTAGTCCCCCAATTACAGTCTCACCAACATTTTTAGAAAGAATCAGGTGTTTTGTAGTGTTTTAGTACTTGGATCTTCGCCTCGTTTGGAGGGTCATCACTAACCGACCATGGACAACTATAGTTGGTGTTGGACGCTGACGCTTTCGGCCAGTCGAACTAATTCTCAAGGTGCTCTGTTTAGCGTTGTAAAAGGAGCGACAGCTCTGTTTGTACTCACGTCGTAAGTAACTGATAGGTGATGTATTTGAGTCCAGCCTTGTGTGACAGAGGGAGGATGCCACGATAATGAAAAATTTTCAGGACAGTTTTCTTGTGTAGTAAGTACAATATAACTGAGCTTGGTATGTATGCGAGTCCTTTTTAAATCTAATTAGTAAAGTTGGTGAATACGTGCTTTGATGTTAACGCTATGAAAATAACTAACTCATTTGGTTAAAAAATGAAATTAAAAATCTAAAACTTAGTTTTGTATTGTTGAAATTTTTTCTACTGCCACTAAAATTGGATGAAATTCGACAATGAAAGTTTTCACTTGGTTCGTATGAACAAACACTTCTCACTCGGCACCCAATCATTTTGGAACTATTCGGTCTAATCTTGATCACAGTTCATATGAAATACTATTTCGTTTAATTCTCTAGATCACAAAACTATTTGTTTCGGCAACATGCAGGCACAAACAATTAGACAAACATGCAACGTATGTAGAACAAATGACTTCCGAAAGTCATAAAACCCAGCAATCACTTAATGTCCTTCGTTTGCCTTCATTTAATACCACTTACGCAATTAGGAAAAACAGACTGAGCGAAGAAATATATTCCTTTTCCAATTATTTCCTCATCATCGGCTCCACACTACATATAGTTTTTACATCAACATTTTACCAATCAAATGGTTATTTCAGTTAATCAGATTTAGGTATAGGGGATGGGTGAATTAAAGAGGTTAAAAGTCGTCAAAACAATTAGCAACGAGACATCTAAGTTCTGAAAGAAGGGTGAAAATTAATTACGGAATTCAGTTTGGAAACCTTTATGCTTAGACTGCAGACTTAAGGCCTTCATCAGATAAAACGGTTTACAGATTTAAGGCAACTTTAGTAGATTGTTACAAATACATGAATAGTAGAGATAATACAAACGGTATTTCAACCAAAAGGCATAAGGAGGCTTTACAAAACGGAATTAAATGGGAATATAGTGATCTCCAGACTTGACAAAGGCTCAGTAGTCGTTGAAATAGATAGGTCTAATTACTTCGGCAAAATGGAGACCTTATTAAGTGGTGTACATAAATTTCAGAAACTATCAACTAACAAAGATACAATAGAGAGGACTGAGAGACAGTTAACAGAGTCATTAGAGGAGTTGAAACACCAAGGCCATATTTCACCTGCTTTCTATGAAACACTAAAACCTGTCGGCACGATAAACTCTAGGTTATAAGATTTACCAAAGCTCCGCTAAGACGGCTTGCCACTTAGACCGGTTCTCGATATATCTACTTCACCATACCATTCAACCGAGAAATGACCGGTAGAACTCTTAGAGCCACTGCATAAGAAACTTGTGAAAAATAGCGTAAAATATAGTTTTGAGTTTGTAGAAGGAATCAAGGATTTAAGTGTGAGGGGAAAATGCATGATATCACTGGATATATCTTCCTTATTCACCAAAGTGCCTCTGATGGAAACAGTTGATTACACAGGTACTGAATTGATAAAGTAACATATATAGAACGGAATTCCTGTTTTTCCTGAAGGAACTTCTTCTAAGGTATACAATGAACGTAAACTTCTTGTTCAATAAAGAAATGTATAAACAGTCAGATGGTGTTGTCATGGTATCACCGCTAGGCCCAATCCAAGCAGATTTTTTCCTGGCAAAACTAGAGAATGGTAATACATAATCTTGATTTGTGTTGCCAATATGTCGATGATACATTTATAGTTATTGAAGAGGTAAAACTAAGGACGTATTGGATAAATTCAAAAGAGCACTTCCTGACATAAGCTTAACTAAACAAGAAAATGACTTTATCTCCTTTTTGGTCGTTCTACTGACTAGACGAACAGACGGAACAATATGTAGACGATTGCACAGAAAACCTACTTCCACTGGACAATATACTCACTTCCTGAGCTTCGTACCTCTACAATACAAATGTAATCTGGTTGTATGTCTTGTTTACCGGGCCAGTTATCTGTTCAAAGGAGACAGTGAACGAAAAACTCAGTAATATTCGTCAGCTACCAAGTAGAAACAGATGTCTGACTAAACTTTTGAACAAACACATGAACTCAGAAAGTAAAAAGCAGAAGGTTCCCACTATTCCCAAAAAATCAGTCTTCCTAAGATTACAATTCACGGGTGATGTCAATAGTGAGATCTTATCACAACTTTTGGGGAGGGTTTTCAAAATGTCTTTCATTGTAGCTAAGCTATGCTGCATATTCACTAACCAACCAATAGTTAGCTCACGAAATAAATACAAACTGCTCTGTCTTGCCTCTTTCATGTGTATTTACCAGTTTAACTATCCGTGCGGAGCTAGTTACATCAGACATCCAACCAGGCAAGTTCACAGTCAAATTTCTAAACACTTCCCGTCTTGGTTTTGCAAAGGTCCGAATAAAGCTGTATACGCAGCTCAATATGAGTTCATCTCGTCGATACTGAACATCAAGCCAACTCTAACAAAGCTTTTAAAGTTATTTATCGTATATGACCCAACCTCTCATCGACTTTTACGTACAACAGAGGTAGTCGGAACTCATCTGAACAAACTAAATCTATGTGTGCAAGATATATTTGTACAACTCCTTTCTATAACATGGCCAACTACATAATATGCATAAAGTCTTTAAAAACGATTTTTTCTCCCATCCCCTTGAAACTATCTTTTGACTTTGTTATTTTTTTTTACAAATTTAGCTAATTCTATTAACTTGTATGTATTTTACGTAATTCTTCTGAGTCATCCTATCCTTCTTAGTCACCATTTTACGAATGTCTTGATTGTGTAATAACTTCTTGTTAACCTCTCAATTTCACCCACCCCCTATACCTAAATCTGATTAACTGAAATAACCATTTGATTGGTAAAATGTTGATGTAAAAACTATATGTAGTGTGGAGCCGATGATGAGGAAATAATTGGAAAAGGAATATATTTCTCCGCTCAATCTGTTGTTTTTTCCAAACACCACTTACCAGTATCCTATGCAATACATCCAGCCTACCATGTAAGAAAAACTTCATAAAGTATATATGAATGAAATGAGAAGTTGAACAGAGAACGTTCATTAATGCCACCTTGCTCTTTTCTTCACTTTAAGCAGATTCAATTTCAAACCAACGAGTGAACTATAAGTATTTTCGAACTGTATAAAATCTCTAAGAGTATTTCAATCATAGGTTGATACTTGAGCTTTTGCTCTTTATCTTCTCAAACAACATCGAAAATTGAAAAAAAAATAAATACAGCGAAATCCAGTCCGAAGAATATGTTCTAAGAGTTGGTAAAATCATATAGGAACACTATAATTAGAACTGCTTAGCCACAAAAGACATGCAAAGTAGGAAAATATGAAAGCATAACCCTAGGTAGTGAGTTTACAAAGCGAATGCACTTACCTCACAGTTAGGTCGACAGTCATGATTAACATAAGCTGCAGGACCTAACCATAATTGGGAACAGTTTTTTCTAGAAGAATACATGACTGAAAAGTCATTTTTGTGTTGCTTAAGGAATGTAGCCTCTTCATGATGCTTGAGTTCAGCGATGCATCCCACCAAAGTACTAATACGAGACCCTTTCGCCCTGAAAAGTAATTCAATTAAATTTCATTAGCTTACCAATCTTTTGTGGCATATATTGCGGCTCCCATATGATTTTCTGATGCGTAGCGCCAACAAGGTCGAATTTCAATGCCAGAACGATCATCAAATAATAACAAGTATCGATTGATCTGTAAATAAGTGATGGTTTGACACAACATACATGTTCCTTGAAACGAGGGTCAATACTCCAAGACCGTTTCACTATGTTTGGATCGGCAGTCAGCTGGTTGAAAGCTGTATCGTAACACTTATTTTTCCGAAAGGCAGATATGATATCACAAAACTTCCTTTTGATTCTTTCTGGAATTTTTAACCTCATACTGTAAGTAAACATATAGTAATATTTAAGGCATACTCTGTCATTTTATGGGTAGTAAAGCCAAGATAAGGATCAACAGTGAGGGCAGAAGCGAGATCATCAGCTTCAGCCAGTTCCCTCCAACTCATCTGGTGGTTTCCCGTTACATTCGGAATAGCATTTTTCCTCTTAGCAAGACTCATCTGTGTTGCTTATTTGGATCTTTGCAGATATTCAATGCAATATACTAAACAGAAAACTAAGTCGCTTGACGTAATGAAGACAACGGAGATGAGCTAGCTTGAAAGACCTGACTGGAGTTTCCATTACGGAATAAGATATCTGTAAGGGAAGAGAGATGAGTAAATGTAATAATGTGCTATTAAAAGGTATATAAAGAATAGATACCAGATAGACGACTGTCAAACAAAATGGCAATCGCTACGGAGAAATTAGACATTAGGTATCCTTCAGAAGCTTGCTTGCAGCGTTTCGAAAGACATGATAGGGTCAACCTGACCGAAAGCTGCTGCCTTTACGTGGTGGTCGGGCTTGAACACCGCAATGATCTATTCAAGCTATACTGGCTGAGACTTATGTCTCTTGAGGTCTACCATGCCAGGCAGGTTGTTTGGATAGCGGTTAAACAAAAAGCAGCTACCCAATCCAACATCATGTCCAATACAAAATTACAAAATTTCATGCCGGATCGGCCGTGGCCCGGATTAACAACGACCGCGCTTCCTGCTGCCGTGTCACAGGGCAGGAGTGATAAATCTGCTACTGAGACACACCAAACAAAAAGAACGAACAAAAACAGGCCGCGTGTGACCGGCCTCAAGCAGTTGTCCCCTGGGCTCTGCGGTCACGCAACCAACTTCCACGGTGTGGGCAGCCGGGAAGTAACAATCGCCCTCACAATCCGAAATGCACACGAAACCTCTCTATTACTCACTCATCTTTGTCTTCATCTTCATCTCTATCATCTTGCCTTCCTTCCACTGATGCAACTCCTCGACTTGATAGCTCTCCACTTCCTCTCCACTCTGCGTCCACTAAAAACGATGGAAGCCAAAAAACCACCACCGACAGCCTCTTAAAGCCGCGCCACCAATTTCATATAGGAGCTCTTAATGTTAGGACACTTTGCCAAATAGGACAACAAGCATCACTAGCCAAGACCCTGGCATCACGAGCCATTGATGTATGCTGTGTTTCAGAAACACGCATACAAGACCCAAGTGTGGTTATTCACCTAACCCCACCTGGCCAACAGGTTGAATCTGCAAAATTCACCTTGAGGGTGTCAGGAGATGCCACAGCTAGTTCACGAGGATTAGCTGGCGTAGGGATAGCTTTGAGTACTAGGGCAGAAAAGACATTGCTTGACTGGATCCCGGTAGATAGCCGAATGTGTGCTGTCCGCCTGAACGGATCAGTAAGAAGGAGGAAGGACTGCACTACTCGCCGATGCCTTTTCGTAATCTCCGCCTACGCCCCCACTGACTGCAGTTCAGATGAAACGAAGGATGAGTTCTACCAAAAGCTGTCTAGTTTGGTGGAAAGGCTAAACGCTCAGACATAGTCGTTCTAGCTGGTGACTTTAACGCTCAAGTAGGGAAATTGTGTCAATCTGAGAAGGATGTCGGTGGCACCTATGGAGTTCCGTGCCAGCGAACCGACAACGGTGACCGTCTCCTACAGTTCTGCTCTGATAATCATTTGTTTCTTGTAAGCACTAACTTCAAACACAAGGAGAGACACTGTTTGACTTGGAGACCCCCTTCATCAAACCAACGCTGGACACAAATAGACCACATAGCAATAAGCTATCGTTGGCGTGGGTCGGTAGGAGATTGTCGCTCCTTCTGGAACACGTGCGTAGATACCGACCATGCACTGGTCCGCGCTCGGGTGTGCTTACGACTGAACGGACGTAGGAAACAGCTGGCGGTAAAACCATCACGTCCCCAGCTCGATCAGGAAACTAAATCCGTATTTCAGGAAGAACTAGCTAAACACATATCTGTGTTCGACAGCTGTGCTCACCCTGAAGAAGCTTGGAAAAATATCCAGGCAGCCATAGATACAGCTGTAAAAGCTGTGAATAAGGTAAACCCAAAGGTGAGTAAAAACCACTGGATCTCCACCGCCTCATCCGAACTGATAGATGCTAGAAGACTTATTCCGGCGAGCTCCGAATTCAATGAGGAGCGAAAGCTGCACAAGAGGAAACTTACGAAAAGTCTCCGCAAGGACCGTGAACAGTGGTGGGCGACAAAAGCCAAAGAGATGGAGAAAGCTTCGAGGATAGGCAACACCAGGCAACTCTTTGGACTCATCAGGGAAACGGGTGGGAGAAGACAAATCATCAGTGAGACAATCTCGGAAAAAAATGGCACTATAATTAGCTCCCAGGATAGACGACTGGATCGTTGGAAAGAGCATTATGAGGAGCAGTTTAATTTGCCCACAGCCACGCTCAACCTTCCGAGCATCCAACACCTCCCTGAATGGGATATAGACACAGGTCCTCCGTCACTAACTGAGGTTACTAAAGCTGTCACCAATCTGAAACTAGGCAAAGCAGCGGGACCTGATGGAATGACTCCAGAGGTATTTAAGTACGGTGGAGACAGCTTACTGTCCGGATTAACTGAGGTACTAGGCAGCGTCTGGGAATCAGAAGAAGTCCCATCGGGTTGGTGTAAGTCACTGATTATCCCCATATACAAGAAGGGAGACAAGTCTTCCTGTGATAATCACAGAGGGATTAGCTTGACTAATATAGTATCTAAAGTCTTAGGCTCAATAATCATGCGTAGACTGAGTGGTGCTCGGGAAGCACAAACACGAGAGAGCCAGGCAGGCTTTAGACCAGGAAGAGGGTGTATTGATCATATCTTCACCCTCCGACAGATTCTAGAACATAGGCATTCCTACCGGCGTCCAACAGTCATTATATTTCTTGACCTAAAGGCAGCATTCGACTCTGTCGATCGGGAAGTTCTCTGGAGATGCTTGGCTGTAAAGGGAATTCCAAGAAAATATATTGCACTGATTAAGGCACTCTACTCGTACTCATACAGCCAGGTGAGGGCTTACGGCGAGCTGTCATCTGAACTGATGACGACCAGTGGTGTCCGTCAAGGATGCCCATTATCTCCTTTTCTATTCAACTTCATCATAGATGTGTTAATGGACTTAACCCTAGGTGACTTCAGCGACTCAGGGATTGACTTGCTACCGGGAATAATCTCGTTGACTTGGAATATGCAGACGATATAGTCCTTCTAGGCGAAGACGCTGACGAAATGCAGAGTCTTCTAAACACCTTGAGCCGCAATCTACGAATGTTTGGCATGCGATTCGCTCCCGCCAAATGCAAGATGATGTTACAGGACTGGACTACATCGACGCCTAGTTTAAAAATAGGAAGTGAAGTGGTAGAGCACGTTGACCGCTTCACTTATTTGGGAAGTACCATCAGCCCCAACGGGCTGATCTCTGACGAAATCTCAGCACGAATACAAGGGGCTCGTTTCGCATTTGTTAGTTTACGCCGACTCTGGCGTAGACGAGATGTTCGACTATCGACCAAAGGGCGGGTGTACTGCTCATCAGTCCGCTCCGTCCTCCTTTATGGTTGTGAGACCTGGCCACTGAGAGTGGAAGACATGAAAAGACTAGCTGTCTTTGATCATAGGTGCCTGCGTTCTATTTCCCGTGTAAAGTGGCATAATAAGGTGAGCAACATGGAGGTTAGGCGTAGAGTTCTAGGTAAACAGGGGAAATCAATCGACGAAGTCGTGAAGCTACAAAGACTGAGATGGTTAGGACATGTGTTACGTATGCCAAGCCATCGCCTCCCTCGACGAGCAATGTTAGCGGATATAGGGTCAGGCTGGAAAAAAGCTAGCGGCGGTCAAACAAAAACTTGGCATCAGTCAATGAAATCCACAACAGTTGGTCTAAGCCACGTAGGAAGGTGTAGACTTCCAGGCTGGGGTCCTCGGGACGGTAAAAATCTATGGTTGGAAACAATTGGTGACATGGCTCAAAATCGTTCTCAGTGGCGCAGATGCATCCACTCCCTGTGACTTATGATCTTCAATGAAACTGTTTTGTATTTCTTTATTACTCCTTTGTCTCACACCTCTGCTCACTGTTTCTATTATGCTTTTCTTGTACTTTCTTCTCTTGCTTCGCGTGCTACACGGAATGTGGCGACTTGAACTTCCGCACATTTGTGCAAAGTTCTATGTCGAAAACAGACAGACAGACAACTTTTTTACTTGTATTTTGACGTGATTTAAAGGCAATGGATGACACCAATCCTATGCAAAAGCTGTCTGAAGCTTCCAGAGACGACAAACTGTGATTGAACACATGCATCCCAATATTACTCTTTTAAGACCATTTGACTCACTTTCCTTCCAAAGCTCCTGAAGCCTGCATTTAGAATAAAAAATTCAAACTTACTGAAGTCTCGAAACTATACAAAACTTGCTTCATACCACTAATACTTATTGAATAATGTGTTAAACTGGTATTTTGAGAAGACAAAATTCTAAGTCCACTTTACGAATAGAAAGTAATATCATGCTAACAAGCAGTTATGATCAGTATACTGAAAAAAACGGTTCTACCAAGTTGTGTATTCGTAAAATTATCCGGCTATGTCAGGGCTGAGGTATTGTCGTACCCCTTATTTGTAAAATACATAATTCCTTGGCACATCAAGTAAATTTCGAAGACTACAGTCAAAACAGACACGTCAGTATGTGTCTTTGAAATAAACCGTGAGTAAAGCTCTCAAACAAAACACGTAGGCTTTTAGCACTCCCTCTTTATTTGTGTAAAGTGAATTCGAAAACTTTACAGCAAACCGAAATTATTACAGGATATGTTTTCTGCGATTGCATTGGTGAACATATTCCTGGCATAACATAGGCAATTTAATGAAAACATTACTAACGTTAGGCATTGTTATTGTGGTGAACCCTGTTTGGATACCTAAGTTTTAACTACAATCTGTATATTATGCAATGATGCCTTAACCACTAGTATATTGTGTTCTGATACGAGTATTCATTGTATGGAAGGAGTTACAAAATCCACGAAGTTTCTTTCACTTTCATTTTATCAATTCCATTATGAAGTCAGAAAAGGAAATAAATACATCCAGTCAGCACAACAATTTCCTCAACTGATGCTGACATTTACAACCTGAGTGTAAAGAACATGCTATTCTCATCCACAATACAGCAACAACAATTAACAACGAGTCATGCTTACTAAATTCCAGAGAACAGTTATCAAAACTTGGAGCATTGCAGTGAATTTACAACAAAATAGAGGAATTATTAAAATAATCAATGTAGGCGCTTCATATTAATCTACTTCGGAAGTACTGAGAAACAAAACATGGCACAATATTCAATGTCCACTATTACGTCTTCACAAGTCTAAATCAAGTGACATGCTGATTTCTGAGAATTCTCAACGTTTTTAATTTCGATTTTTCTGCCTCAGCTGGTTGTGAACACTCAAATACCAACTACGCGATGAACAGAAAAAGATGCTGTGTCATATTGACTCCTGTCTCCGCTGCTGATATTATAGTCTCACTTGCTTTCTGTAATTCTCCGAATATCATTCACTCTTCAAAGCCAAACCTCATGACCGTCTTTAACTGTCTGATTAGTGTACATATATCTTATTTTTGAAAGGTAAAACAGGTTTCTTTCATTTTCAGACTCAGATATTGTATATCCCCGAAACATATACTTCTGCAAAGTTTGAATTTACTTTTTAAAAGGCCAATCGATGAAGCCGAATATGTTTTTTTATAATTAACGTGACATTTGAGGTGAAGTCAGTAGAAGGCAGAATCATACAACAGGCAACAAATGAGGATACTCTACTGAAGGGATTATTCTGTCGTAGAAAAAACTGCTCACACACTCATTATCGGGAAGGGGTTTAGTGGCCACTAAATAGTTTCGTTATATACTTTAATCTATAATTTTTTAATTCCATAAGCGTATAGTAACTCGTGTAGAAGTCATCCGGACGAATCCGGCATGCTGGTTGGAATTTTGCTTGGCAAATTTTTGTGTGAACAAATTTTAATGAAATTGCGTTATACATTTTCTGGATTGACAGATACAATCACTTTTTGACAAGACATTTTGGTGTCCGCGTCATGTGATCTGGCTGCGACACATTCTCATCATATTGCTTGCAGTGATTAGTGTTTCAATCGGACTGTGTCAAAATATCGTTATAATGAGGAAGATAGGATAGTTGGAGGGTAGTCTCGTCTATACAAATATTCTTATTTGTGAAGAAGCTGCATTTTTCGGCATAGCATCATCAGGATGCCAAAGCAGCATATTTTCGTGTGGAGAATGGTACTATTTGACAAGACAATGCTATCAGTACATGAAAGTCACCTGTAAATGCTAACATAACCTTCTTTGGAAAACTAATTGAGTAATCATGTTCAAATTTTATTCAAATTCATCAAGGAGAATAAATGCATGAAGTTTCTCGAAAAATCGCCTTCCCACAGAATTCTTTCAAATCACTGAATCGTTCGGTGATAATTCGTTGCAGAATATCCAAAGAAGTCACTCGAATAAAATTGTACGATGGATGCAGTCCCACTGCTTTCCTCGCCATCACATCAAGTCACTATGTACTTGCAAATTACCGCCCTCTCTCATAAACCTTTGACGCATTACGAAATCACATATTGAATCAACAGAATCTCTGATTTCAAAATTGAGAACTGAAGCTTGAACCTTTGATGGTGTCGTCAACAGTTTAAATATAGTATGCCGGATCAAATTCATCAACTATATCCAAGAGCTTCAGCAGAAAACATGTGCAAACTCTTAAAAAACTCTGGCAAAATCCCTGACAAAGGAGAAAATACATGATGTCCTCCCAGAAAATCCTTAGGAGTTTGTGTATAATCTACCGAGTCTGAATTTAAGCCGCATTGAAAGGGAAGCGCCTTCCCTCGGATTGAAATTCCATATCCTCAATAACCTTGTCAAAAGAATCAATGCCGCGGCTCATTTCGAAAAATGTTTTGTCAGCTGAATGACCTTACCTCAGTTTGTGAGGAAAAGAAGAGCTTGTTCAAATCTAAGCTGGCTGATGTTGCTTATCAGTACCTCATTTCACTAACGTCATATTCCAAAATCCTCTCTAAAGAACATCAAAAAGCACTGAAAGCCCACAAAAATAATGACAAAATCGTCATACTGTGACGTGCCAGCGGCTCAGGAGTGGTGCTGATGGATAAAGATGACTAAATCGCAAGGATGAAAACTGTGCTGAATGACCTGTTGAGGTTTAAAGTCGACGACCGCTCGAAAGACAAGACAGATGCAACTGAAAAACGCATCACAAACGTACTGATATATCTTATAGGAGAAGAAACTGATTGACAGCAACACGTACAATGAAATGAAATCCAGAGGGTCCTGCTTGCCATAAATGTATGGCTTTACAAAGACGCATAAGATAGAAATCCCTATGAGACCTATGCTTTCGATGATCAACTCGCCCCAACATAAGGTGAACCGTTGGCTTGCATAGAAGTTGGAACCCATTCGCCAACGCCTAGCCGTGCATACCATGAAAGACTCATTTCATTTTGTCGAAAGCATGAATCACATGAACGTTTCAAATAAGTTCATGGCTTCATTTGATGCAACCTCCTTGTTCACAATGATCCCAATCAATGAGACCACTGAGATCATTTTTCAACAGCCTTATTTTCTTCCACTACCGGAGTCAGAATTCAAACGCCTACTGCTAATGTGTACCATGGGTGTACAATTCCAGTTTGACAACATTCTTTATCGACAAATAGATGGTGTAGCTATGGGCAGTCCCTTTAGCCCTGTTTTGGCAGATATCTCCATGTCAAACCTTGAGAAAACAAAGTTGAAGCATGCAATTGATCAAACAACTTCCTATTGTCGATATGTGGATGACACATTTGTAGTGTTCAACAATGAAAGTCATGCCTCCTACCTACTTAGACTATTCAACAACGCAGATACAAATATTGTATTTACTATGGAACATGAAAATGATGGAGTGTTCCGTTTCCTTGACATCGCCATGCAAAGCCTAGAAGATGGTAGTCTCCAGATGTCAATTTATTGAAAGCCCAACTGGAATGGACAATACTTACATTTGAATAGCTTTCGTCCAAATAGCTATCAACGAGCATTAGTCAAGACTGTGTACTATAGAGCGAAGAGAATATGCTCTGCAGAGAAACTATAGGAAGAATTTACGATTCTCGAAAAAGTGCTGAAAAACAACGGTTATCCTCAAAGATTCATTCAAAAATATGGAAGTTGTGAAGGCTCAAATACCAAGCAAATCACAATTGAAAAAATGTCTGTCTTCATTCAACTAGATTTCAAAGGCGAAAACATTGCAGAAATGGTCAACAGAAGACTGAGAACGTCACTAGCCAGGGCCTATCCTGCACCTAAGTTGGTTTCCGTCCACCGAACAACATGCTCTTTGGTGCAGACAAAAGTCGATAGATACCCTTCTCATGTTAACTCCAACTGTGTATGCAAATGTACGTGTATCCGCGCGAGGAGGTACATTGGGAGAACAGAAAGAAGGGCACACCTGCTGTCAGCTAACTCTCCTAAACTGTCAGTGTCCAGCTATTACCACGCTAGTCCTCACGCTGTCCCTCGAAGACTTTCAGAAACACTTTATGATACAGAAGATAATAATAATATATTCTCATTTTGTACATGAAGGACGCCAGTTTACAGGCATCATCAATATTATAAATTACATATACGATTAGCAATCATAATTAATAATAATGTTTTAATAAAATACACATTTTTTCCTACCTGTGTAGGACACACCAAATGTACAGGCATGGATAATTATTATTTAAATTTCATAAATTCGGTTTATGGTTAAATTACATGGTTGCTGACGTTTTTGTCTTTGGTTTGTGGGAACAATATGATAACCAGTCATTCGATGGAGCACATCATGAAATATAGGAATATTGTCTTCGCATTAACAAAAAAACCCAAGTATGTTTTGGATGGATTAAAAATACTTGGGAAAAAATAAAGCTTGAAGTTATTGCACAATATAACTTGGGTGTGTACAAATCCGAATCTCATACAGATACGATCAGTTATGTTATAAGTTACAATCGTGACGTTGTATTAAAAATTGATACTTTTCCATTGGTATAAGAGTATATTCCACAAATGTAATCCAGGTTGCGTCGTGGGGAAAGTTAATTCGTTACTAACTAGGCAAATGAAAGATACGGGACCAATAATGTTTGCAGATTATTTGTCATTGTAAATGGTCAAACATCCACATTATTCATTCTCATTCATAAAGTCCAATGGAAGCTAAAATGATGAGAGAAAAAAAGACAGACAACAGCAAAGGAAAAGAAAGCAAGAGGAGTCCTGAAGGAGTGATTAATAAATATACACATATATATTCTGTCTAGTAACTATGCTTATTTTTGTTCACTAACTAACTAGTCCCGTTATGCTGACTTTTATATTATATGTGAACTAATATTACTGTCCTGTGTAGAAATGTTTATCATCTAGTTCCAATAATATTAAAATTTATAATTGTAGTTTGTTGTAACTGCACGTTTAAAGAACTTAAAATATCTATGTAGGGTGAAAAACAAGGTGTAAGAGTCAGGCGCAAAAGTGCATTGTCATCTTTGAGCAGTCTGGTGACTGAGGAGATGAACACTGGAAGTGTGTTTGCATCGCGCACATTAGCTGGTAGTCTATTCCAAATGACTGAAAACTTATTTAAGAAGAAGTTGTACCGCACGTAAGTCTGACAGTGCTCTATAGCAGCTAGGTTGTGATGATTTCTAAGATTGTAACTGATGACAGTGGTAGGTTTAGTTATTGGCTCGGAGGAATGCAAGAGAAGATTAGTTAGCTTGTAGTAAAAGATAAGGCCTAGCTTAAGACGTCTTTTCCAGAGTGGTTCTAATCTTAATCTTTCGCATCACTCATGGTATTCCAGACCACTTTCTAAACCAAGAGTTCTTGAGGTAAACTGCCGTTGCACTCCCTCTAATTTAAGCTTGTCATTTTGTCTGAGTCCGCTAAGAATAAACGGGCAGTATTCTAAGATGGGTCGGACACATACTTTGTATAATAAAACCCTAGTTTCACAACAAAAGAAATTGCGTGTTATGCATCCTATCAGCCTTCGCGTTTTACGTCTGGCATAATCAGTCTGTTCAGAGAACGTTAGGTTACTAGAGTATCTAATACCGAGATCTACGACTGAGTTGAGCTTAGCTAGTTTTCGCCCATTTATTTCCAGAGTTAGATCAAGGTTAC